GCCATGGAGAGGAGCATAGCTGTCAATAGCCTCTGACCAGGGGCACACAAATGACTGGTCAATAGCTCTAGCATTGAGACACAAGTGGCTTGTCAATAACCTGTGACAATGACAGAGCAATAATTTCTGACAATCCCGATAGCAAATAGAGAAAATCACCCAACAGAAGCAAATCCAGAGCACCGGTAAATATGAATAGTTTTCACACGGCGTGATATGTAACACAACTCACCCCGTTGACGTAAAGAGCGCCGCGTCGAAGCGCGGACCACTGAGCGCCAGCAGTTGTTTGGGGTAGCTGGCAGGTCAGGGGTCAGTGAGAGGTCACAGAAGGTGGTGAACAGGGCGCCGATGTGACTCCTGGACGCCTCCACCACGGCAGGGTGACAGTGACCCACTGCGGGACGCAGAGACAGGACGAGAGTCAAATGGGAAACTGACGGGTAGGTCATGTTGTGAAGCTGTCGCTCAATAAGAATGCGATAATGCGAACAATTTTAGCAAAACATGATAAGATGCAGTTCATGCTTGCAAACAGATGGTTAATTTCTTATGTAAGCTTGCGTTTATCCTTGTTCCTATTTCAGACCGCTTATTTTTATTAATGTTATTTCAAACATCCTTTCAAAATAATGGCCATGAACATTGCAAAGCATTGTCCGTTTTCTCTGTAAGAATAATATATTCGTACCCCAATATAATTCTACATTAGCGTCCAATTAGCGTCCCTCATCACGCCAACACGCCCTCTGAGCCCCTGCATTCAAATCCCGCGCGATAATTCCCCGAGAAGCTCACCTCCTGAAATGCTCCCGGCGCAGTCGATGTACTCCCTTCCTTTGTCATCGTACATGTACTGGAACCGGGCGCTGGACAGTCGCAGAGGTGCCTTGTCGTAGTGCAGCAGACACGTGCTTCTGTGGGTCACCGAAAGGGGGCGCTGGTGAGGACAAAATGGACAGACGCAGCGGCACCTTGTAGTGGACTAAACACGTGCATCTAGGGGTCACCGAAAGGGGGCGCTAGTGGAAAGGGGTCAAACACCGGTCACCGATAGAGGGCGCTAGTGTGGTGGACTTGTTATTTCGCCAGCCATCAACAGATGGCGGTAATACAGTAAATGCCAGCGGAAAGCAAACACTGAATGATGGTGGTAGAGCGATTGGCACTTCCTGCCGATTTCAGTTTTGTTGACGCAATCCATTAATATCTGAATTGCTAAATTTAATATCATAACTCACTCTTACATCATCTCACTTAATATCAAAACTAACACTCTCTTATAGAAAACGAGTTCTACACACCTAAAGATGTCCTAGGAGAAAATGGGACATGATAGTGGAAGGATGAACAAGAGATTTATGGATAAAAACAAGCAGACCACTCACGGCAGGTTTTTGCGGCGGATGGAGAAGTTTTCCGCGGCGCTGATTTGCTCTTTGATGGCCTCTGACGACGCCATTGGTCCCAGTCCGGCGGCCACCGCCCGCATATAACTCCCTTCCGGCTGCATGGCGGTAACGCTGCAGCCGCGGGGGACGACCGGTGGTTACGTCACTGGATCACAGATACGTCCGTGTGACGTCACGGGATCACAGATCTAGTCGACTCCGTGTGTGGCGAGTGAGGTGAGGACGAGTTAACCAATCTGAAAACAGAAACGGAAGGGTAAGCTGCTGCCCTACATTGGATGACTTGAGAAGATGGGGCAGAGGCTTTAGAAACTTGACCATAATAAAAATAAACGGGTTCTTTATTTTTTTCTAGCTATGACAATGGGCATTGACGAACACAAAGAAACCCGATGATTGACGGCCTTGTGCTAACAAAAGCGTAGTGAAATGATGCCCATGGCGGTATGTAGGAAAATAACTAAACTAAAAACACTAAAACCTAAAAATATACTTAACATATGTCAACCCAGGAACTCGACCTACGACACTGAAACACGTGTCCATAGGTCTTCATTCGTAACACTCCTGGTGAAATTTTCACAGGGTGAAATATTTATGACGTGCACGCGAGTGCACGATCACAATGCTAGTGCACACTGCACATCCTGCCAGGAGCCTCCAGTGTCAGATAGACAGGTGGATATGAATAATTCAGCTCGTGCAAGTCATTTCCATCATAGGGTATGCCTGTAACTCAGACGTCAGGCAGTTTCTAACGGTTATTACCGGGGCCGCGCTATTGTGACAGTGAGGACGACGAATGTGCTTACGTTATGCGAATTTAATTGAGGTACGAAATGTTAAATGAAGTGATTATAATTATACTCGTAAGTCGTATGTCACATAAAACAGATTGTGACAGTGACAGTGAGACAGTATTCTTGTTCGTTTATCCGCTTATCGTCAGTAGCTAAAAAGATTCAAGCGTTACACTAAACGAGAAGTAAGATGCATGGTTTCACCTGCCCGTTATGAATAGCAAACACATAAACAGTTCTCAACTTCCTTACAGCGACATGGACAAAAATAAAGCGCGGGCACAAACTCATCAACTTTTGGTACCGAATCATCCAAATACTGCAACTGATACGTTTCAGCAGCCTATCGTGCATAGCAGGGCCTTGATCGTGCAGTAGGCCTGTCTAACAGCGGTAGGAATGTCTAAGGTAGGCTAATACACGCAATTATTCAAATCAGACCATGCCGCACATGTCGCATGTGCAAGCTCCGAATCACTCCTTTGAACAAACTCTGGTGAGGTAGGACAAAAAAGGAAAGAAAATAAAACGTGCAGCATGGCTGCTACTCTAAAACAGCCAGTGAAAGCATTAAGCGGTGGGTGGCCTGGGTAACACAGACAGTTGCAGGCTAACTTGCAACTCAATGACATAAGCACAACCATCTGAAATAAGCAACCAAAATAAACAACGGCTGCCCAGCTGCAATTTGACCCATGTACTGTGGACTGCAACGAGCAATTGGATATTATACCATGTGGCGTCACTGGATGTATTCTTAGGAGATTATGTCATTTTAGCTGCAATGCACTGGCATGAGGTAACGAATAAACCGTGAGATAATGCCGATTTACGGTTCGAAGTGAATCTCACTCGAATAAATAACGAATATGATATGAAGCATAAGGGGCAACATGCAATATGTAAATATCTAAAAATATATGCCTAATTTTATGGAAACATAGCCATTGAATAGTCTGTGGCCATGATAAAAAACTATGTGCCCGGTAAAAGAAAATCATAAACATCCATGAATGTGAGCGTCAAGTTGCAGAGAAAATAACACAGTATCAAAGTTAACTTCCCAGCCTGTTAATCAGTGTTTAAATTAGTCAACGTGTCTCCGCGTGTTGATTGCACTAAACGGAAAATGGTGAAACATTGAAATCCCCCTGCATGAGCTGGAAAACAGTGCGATGCTGATAGGTCGCAAATCTACTTCGGCACAACCCTGGAACACTTTTTACTGTGTGTAACCGTATGTATGAGGGAAAGAATAAACGAATCAATGCGTCGATGTCACTGCCGACATGTCATAGAGACAGATGGCCATACTCAGGCAATAATACAATAGGACCACAACGATACTAGATAGTAGATACTACAATCCACGTTTAACAACACCAACAAAACAGACATACACCACACCAAAGGCAACGAGCTACGTCACATCCCGCCTTTCAACATGACCTTCGGTTGTTGAGTTCGCATGCACCAAACAGCGACTGCAAAGCTGCCGGGGTCGGCACAGTACGACCTTTGGATGGTGACGTCATCATGCACCGACCGTCGGCTTATGCCCCGGGCGGCAGCTGACGCAATATACGACCGACCGCCTGGGGTTGCAGGTGCGGTGAGTGCTGCGCGGCGCCCTCTCCCCCACCCCCGCCCACTACACATACCCGGCAGCACGTGTGCATCTCAGTGGGGGCGGGGGAGGGGGAGGGGGCCAAGGCGCATCAGCTGATGCAGGGTGATAACACGACTACAGCATCTGCCAGAGGTGATGGCAAACTTTGAACAATCTCATACCTACATGTTGATGGGTCTTGTGTTGACTAAAATACGGAATAAAACGTTACAAATATTGCAACTTTCAGCGATCGTATTGCTTTACCAAAAAATATGAAGTGTCACTCCTTACCATAAAACAGAACACATTGGACCGAAAAGACAGTCTACATTCTTAAAAGCCGTGTTTACATGGCGCAATATCACACAAGTGTTACCGACGGAACCACCTATATCCACTGAAATAGCTACACGCTGCATGAAGCACGGGACGATACGAAACGAAGCGATCTTTCAATGTAGTGACCATTACCAATATACCCTTATCTACCTACACGGTCTACAGACCCCCTCTCCTGCATGACCTTGAAGCGACTTCTCATTCCACAAGGACGATAACCACATGCGTGACATGCCACGTGTCTATTCGCAACACTAGCCTAGTTAGTTCTATTAATACCACCCACGTGAAATGGGATCGCTGCAAGAAGCTAAAAATAGAACCACTGGCAAGGTGTTGCAAGCGGCTACGTCAAGTGACCCGGTTGGAAAAATGTGCAGATTACACATTGCACGTGCGTGAGGGCAGTGGTGCAATGACATGCGTAATTCTGCTACTAGTAAGGAAATAGGAGAGAGGGAGAGAGAGAGAGAGAGAGACGAGAGAGAGAGAGAGAGAGAGAGAGAGAGAGAGAGAGAGAGAGAAAATAGAGAGAGTGAGAGCGAGAGTGAGTGTGAGAGTGAGAGTTGGAGTGAGAGTGAGAGAGAGAGAGTGAGTGTGTAAGAGAGGGAGGAAGAGGGAAATCGGAAGAGACAGGGAGAGGGAGAGGGGAGAGGGAGATAGGGAGAGGGAGAGAGATTCGTGCGAGTTGAGGTGACATGTTAGTGATGTTTTTACAAGCGCTTCTGGCAAAGGAAATAAACCAAAATAGCTTACCTAAATAACTAAGAAAGAAAACGGTTAGAAAATAAGCTTATGTAATGTGAAAAAGCCCTTCTCAGTTCTAGCCTTATAAACCTAAAACTATAGGTAAATGCATTAAAATAGGTATTGCAAAAACAATGAAGCGAGCAAAGCTCTGACTACCATCGTTTTCGTTTAGGTCTCGCCATGCCCCCAGCACTTAATTTTTTGAACGATCATTCATTGAATCATTTTTGGTCACCCGTACCTCATGGCACGGAACACTAAATAATCATTAGCTACGGCTGTAAGAATCCACGAACATATCTGACTTTAACACCAAACTTGAGATGGACGACATAAACATCTGAGACAGCATCAAACGGAAACAACGTGATCCTTATCAATCTAGGAATTTCGTTTCAAGCGGCTGGATACATTCTTTTCGGATTAACCGCAGGGGCTAATCCGAGTCACTTGAAACCTTGGGACATACTAAAACTCCACTCTAGATATTATCATACATCAAACCACACGCCGAGCACATGCAGCATTCATCTCCATTGCTCAAATTCAGAGGCGTTGCCCATCCTCCAAGTACTGATGCATTTACCAACTTTCCTTTTACTAGAGCCACTTTTACCCACTTTCCCTTTACCGCTGTTCTTCGCTGTGATTTCCGACGTCAGATCCAGTCCTAGGAAAGTGGATGATTCCAGACAGAATTACAGAGGTTACAGGGTCTACTGCGTCATGTACACATTGTACAGGATATGCCGCGTCATGTTGGTTTATATTTAGATAGATACCTACCTACTAGTTTGACGACTTCATGCCAGGAATAGGAGCGTTATATAACGGGGATAAGAGCGGCCGGCGTGACCACCTAACTGCATTTCAATTGAAGATAAAGAAACTCGACCTTGTAGGGCCTGGCAATGAAGTACTTGGGCATATATTGAAGCATATTACACAATAAATGTTATTTTACGGCAGAGTTATCGAACATCGGTATAGCTTCTCAGTATCAAAAGTGACAGAGGTCTAGCAAACCATTCAAGGTTGCAACTTGCACTAAATTAGGATAATTGTTGGCCTCTTGTTAAAACTAGGAAGCTTTGACAGGAAATAAAGTTAACCCGCGCCCCATAGCCCCCCCTCCCGTTTTTCTGCAATAACTTCCAAACCGCTTGACGTATCGACGCCAAACTTTCAGTACCTTCGGCTGCATCAAGTTGACACCTTGTGTCAAAATTTTAACTTCGTAGCTACCATAGGTCGGCCGGAAATGACGTCAGAGTGACGTCATGTTCGGCCGATTTCGACGCAAAACATTAAACCACGGTAATCGCTCCCAAGAGCTCAGTTTTTAAGCTAGATCCAATTTCTTTGCATGAGAGGACTCAGAATAGACTGCGCTATCAAACTGCTATCTCGGATTTTCGAAATTTTGAAAATTTCGAAAATTTGATATAATAAAATCCAAAATTTATATTTTTACTTTTTTTCAAAAAGTTTTTGACTTTTCGAAAAAACCGGAATATATGTGATAGAACGCATCATTATGACTAACTCTAGCAAGTTTTAGCTAAATATCTTCAAAAATGGCCAAGTTTTACGCATTATTGCAAAAAATTCACAATTATTAATTTTTCAAATCAATTTTTCAGCACGTATTTGACATCGTACGCCAATATAAATAGCACCATCGTGTTCCTGAGCTCAAACTGCATCCAATAGACACCTTTTTTGTTGAAAAATT